TCACTCTGTTGCCCAGGCTGGAGTACAGTGGCACAATCTCAGCTCACTGCAACCTCTGCCTCCCAGTTTCAAGTGATTCTCCTGCCTCAGCCTCCTGAGTAGCTGGGATTACAGGTGCCCACCACTATGACCAGCTAATATTTACATTTTTAGTAGAAGCAGGGTTTTACCATGCTGATCAGCCTGGTCTTGAACTCCTGACCTCAGGTGATCCGCCTGCCTCTGCCTTCCAAAGTGCTGGGATTACAGGCATGAGCCACCGGACCCTGCCAGAATCAGCATTTTAAAAGCTTTCTTGTCAGAGGTAGGAAAGCTTATGCATGGTACTGGGTCTCAGGTCTGAAAAGAGGCTCAGAGCCCAACTACGTTGCAGATCAGTACAAAGTGTGAGTAAATAGCTTTAGCTATTACTCACTCATCAGCTAGTTCTGATGTACAACAAGGGTTACAAACAACTGGCGTAGATAGGGCCCCAGAAGGCTCTGAAATGGGTCAGAACAGAATCTTAATATACTTCAAGACAACTGTATCCCCAAGGCTGAACATTCACATTTTTTCCTATTTTGCATTCCAAATTATGTCTGGTCACATTGTCCAACATAACATATCAGAGGCCATGCAGCGCAATTAAATGACAGCATTAAAATGCTCCAAAAATAATGATACACAGAAATTCCACAAATTTTAATATAACCCCCAGGGAGAAATTAAATTTCAAAGATTAAATAAATCCCTTTGTAAACTAAAGTCCCAAGGAATGGAAATCTGAAATCAACTAATCTTGCCTTTGTGAGTTAAAATTCTAGAATTCAACCTTCTGAAGTTAAAGTCCCCAAATCATCCCCCCTACCCCGACTTCCTCTTCTGCTCAGTCTCAGCTGAGGGGTTATCTCAGTTCATTTGGCCTCCTCTCTAGGAGCCCAATACTGGAGCAAAATACTGAGTAATTTATAAATAACAGAAATTGACCAGGCGCGATGGTTCATACCTGTAATCCCAGCACTTTGGGAAGCTGAGGCGGGTGAATCACAAGGTCAGGAGTTCAAGACCAGCCTGGCCAACATGGTGAAACCCCATCTCAAATAAATAAATAAATAAATAACAGAAATTGGTGTCTTATAGTCTGAAGGCTGGAAAGTCTAAAATCAAGGTGCAAGTACATTCAGTGTCTGGTAGGACCAGTTCCTCTCAGATGATGCTTTTGTGTGTTCTCATATAACAGTAGGGACAAACAAGCTCTCTTGGGCTTCTTTTATTAGGGCACTAATCCCATTTCTGAGGGCCCCACCCCCATGACCAAATCACCTCCCAGATGCCCCACCTCCCAACACCACTGCACTGGGGATTAAGTTCGAACATGAATTTGAGTGAGACATGAACATTTGGACCATAGTGGGGTGGGAGTTCTCTGGGTAGATCAGTTCTCTTAAGCTGGGCTGTTTCTCCCTGGAAAAGTATGCTGTTCCTCAGAAACTAAAGGCTGTATTAGTTCAGAATGAAGTCTCTCATGAGCATCATTCGAGATTAAAAAAGAATTCAAGGGTCTTAATAAGGCATATACAAGTTGCAGATAAAATTATGTTGCCAAAAAACTGGTTATTACTGTTGCCAAAGACCACAGTAGAAACCCAATAGCATTTGAGGAAATGAGGATACATGGAGAAAATCTTGGTTTCAGCTTCAACAAAATGTCAGTTATCTGGAACCATGACTTGTGCACTTAAATTTAACTCGGAGAAATCTTTAGCAATAGATTAATATAAGAGATATAATCCAACCAATAAGCATTTACCGTATTGGTGGTTATAAATTCACATACGTATACCTCCTTTTCTTAGGGGGTTGATTATGGTAAAACACATATAAAATATATTATTGTAACCATTTTAAAGTGCACAATTCAGACGGAGTCTTACCCTGTCTACTAGGCTGGAGTGAGTTCAGTGGAGCAATCTGGGCTTACTGCAACCTCCACTTCCCTGATTCAAGCAATTCTCCTGCCTCAGCCTCCTGAGTAGCTGGGACTACAGCTACTGAAGCAAATCTCCTGCCACCACACCCAGATAATTTTTGTATTTTTAGTAGAGATGGGGCCTGTGCGGTGGCTCACACCTGTAATCCCAGCCCTTTGGGAGGCCGAGGCAGGCAGATTGCCTGAAGTCAGGAGTTCCAGACCAGCCTGGCCAACATAGCGAAACCCCATCTCTACTAAAGATACAAGAAAAAAAAAATTAGCCAGGTGAGGTGGTGGGCACCTGTCATCCACCTACTTGGTAGGTTGAGGCAGGAGAATTGCTTGAACCTGGGAGGTGGAGGTTCCAGTGAGCCGAGATCACATCATTGCACTCCAGCCTGGGCGACAGAGCGAAACTCCGTCTCAAAAAACAAAACAAAACAAAAAGAAATAATCTAAAATGAATACACCAGGCAACAGCAAAACAGACTGCGCTTCTATATGTATAGAATATCCCTGGAAGGAGAGTCAAGAATAGAATATCCCTGGAAGGAAAGTCAAGAAACTGGTAACAATAGTAACATTGGCTGCCTCTAAAGAAGGGACGTGGCTGAGTGGGGAACAGAGTTAGGAGGAAGACTTTTCCTACCCTCGTGCCCTTGGGCCTTTTGAATTTTTGATAGCTATTTCAAAACTCACAAGTTAAAAAAAAAAAAAAATTAAAGGAACAAGAAATACCAGTGTAAAGATGTGCTCATGCCTGTACAAAATTTTTTCTTTTTTTTTTTTTTTGTAGAGACAGGGTCTTGCTGTGTTGCCAGGGGTCTCAAACTCCTGGCCTCAAGCAATCCTTCTGCCTCTGCCTCCCAAAGTGCTGGGATTACAGGTGTGCGACACCATGCCTGACCTTGTACAAGGATACTTATTACAGCATTGTTCATAGCAGAATGTTGGACAAACACAAACGTGTATCTGTTGGAGACTTGTTATATAAATCATAGTTCAATCACTCACAAGAGTGTTTTGCAGCTGCTAAAAAGAATGAGGCAGCTCATAAGAACTGACTTGGAAACAAGTAAAAAAAATAGTAAAGTACAAACAGTGTTATAGTATATAACCACTGATTAAAAATTCATTTATTCTGGCCAGGTACATTGGCTCATGCCTGTAATCCCAGCACTTTGGGAGGTTGAGGCGGGCGGATCACTGGAGGTCAGGAGTTCAAGACCAGCCTGGCCAATATGGTGAAACCCCCATCTCTACTAAAAATGCAAAAATTAGCTGGGCATGGTGGTGGGTGCCCGTAATCTCAGCTACTCGGAAGGCTGAGGCAGGAGAATCACTTGAACTGAAAGGTGGAGGTTGCAGTGAGCTGAGATCATGCTACTGCACTCCAGCCTGGGTCAGTGCAAGACTCTGTCTAAAAAACAAACAAACAAACAAACAAACAAAAAACCGCACATTCATTTATTTAAAAAATGTGTGAGTACTGAGCATTATTTTAGGTCTAAAGATTCAGTAGTGAACAAGTCCCTGTCTTCACAGTGCTTATGTTTTCTTTATATGGAAGCAATTCTGTGCAGGAACTATTCTAGAAAGCTACCCAGGAAACTAGGGCAGGGCCTGGGACAGGGCCCAGGAGTGGGAGGAAGACCTCCCCTTCACCATAGGCACTTTTGTTCCTTTTGGATTTTTATTTATGTAAATGTATTCACTATTCAAAAAAAAAACAGGTAGAAAATAATCTTAAAAATTATTTTCTAAGATATGACAAAGATTTTATTAGGTGTAATAATAGTGTTATGGTTATGCAGAAAAATGTCCTTATTAATTTTTAGAGATGTGTTATGAAGTATTTTGGCTTAAAATTTCATGAGTTTTTAATTTACTTGAAGATACTTTAGCAAAAAACAAGTATATGAAATATATATAGCAAAATGTTAACTGTGAAATCTAGCTGATAGGTGTTTCTAGGTTTAAAAGTTTTCATAATAATTTTTAAAAATTCAAAGCTGCAAAGAGATTAGCATACTTTAAAAATAGAGGCATAAGCATATTTTTCAGAGATACAGAAGTAACAATCAGCATAAATAAAAAGGAGAGTGGTTAAAAAGTAGTTTGCCATGGCCAAGTGTGGTGGCTCACGCCTGTAATCCCAGCACTTTTGCCAAGGCAGGAGGATCACCTGAGGTTGGGAGTTTGAGACCAGCCTGGCCAATGTGGTGAACCCACCTCTACTAAAAATACAAAAATTAGCCAGCTGTGGTGGTGCATGCCTATAATCCCAGCTACTTGGGAGGCTGAGCCAGGAGAATCACTTGAACCCAGGAGGTGGAGGTTGCAGTGAGCCGAGATTACGCCATTGCACTCTACCCTGGGCAACAAGAGTGAGACTTGTCTCAGAACAAACAAACAAACAAACAAAAAAATAGTTTGCCTCAGATGAAGAAATCTGGGTGTGGGAAAGGTGGTCTAGATGCTACTTTTCCTATAACCTCTTTTATATCATTTAGGTTTTAACCTTGCACATGTATTTCTTGTATAAACAATAAACAATGACGACACCACCACCACACATAAAATAATGAAACATAGAACTATCTATAAAAAAAATAAAGGAAACAAATAAAACAAAACGAAAAGAACTATCAAGCAGCCTGGATGCCTCCCTACTGACACATCTCCAAGGGAAGTGAAATTACAATCAGAATGTTGGTGATGAGCGTGGACCCAGCTCGATCACATGATCCTGGCAACTGGCAGGTGTTGGAGCAAAGACCACTGAAGTATCGGCTCCATCAGGGCTAGACCCGACACCCATGTGTGGGGTTAGAGCACCCCCCACCCCGCCACCCTGTGGGCCCCCAGCGAGTGTTCCTCTGAGTGGCCCAGCTGACCACGTGCTTTCTGAGTGACACCTTCTTTCTTTAGATGTTAATGGCATCTATCAGGTCACTGCCAAGGCTGAACCTATAAGCTCTCAAGTCCTTGGGAGGTGACACTTTATTTTTATTTTATCGGGCAGCCCCCAGAATCACAGCAGATTCACAGAGACTCCCTGGAAGGTGACACCTTGAATCTCCACGTTGTTTTAAAGAATATTTTTTGGAGAGTGATCTCTACCATTTCCAGGTGCTTGGGCCAGGTATTGCTTGGGTGCTGTGTGCTCGGTACTGCACCTCAGCGCACATCACCCTTATACACAGTAACCCCGGCAAGGCTCCAAAAGGTTGAAACTTACCAGAATTACTCAGTAAGGCAGAGCTACTTCTGCTTTATAGTAGTGGAACTATTTCCACAATTGCAGGCTGCCTTTCCTAGTGAGGTGGCAGCAGGAAAGGGAACTAACGTATGCTGTGCATGCTATGTGTAACCCCCATCTCACATTCCTCATGATGAAAAGGATGGTGATACAGTCTGTATCCAGGCACAATTGCTGTTGGCCGATCAGATATACATACCATACATACATACAGGATCTTAGAACAAGGCTCTATCAGTTCTCTACTTCAGATTTCAGTTGATATTTATATAAAATATATATTATATATGTTACATATATGTTATACATTATATATATTACCTATATAGTATATACATATAATACATAATGTGTTATATATTATGTACTTCTAATATAGATGTTATATGTTGTATAACATATATGTTGTATATTATATATACATATATGTTGTATATTATATATACATATATTATCTATGATATGTTATATATGTTATTATATATATATTCACTGAAATCTGAAGTAGAGAACAGATAGAGCCGCCCCAACATCCTGTATGTGTGTATGATCTTATATGTGTATCTGATTGGCCAACAGCAGTTGTGCCTGGATACAGACTGTATGACTGTCTTTTTCATCATGAGGAATATGGAGTGAGGGTTACACATAGCATGCACAGCATATATGTTAGTTCCCTTTATATATGTTTGTGTGTATATATACATATATATCCCTATATGTATGTGTGTGTGTATATATATTCATTCCAACCTCAACAGAGTCCCTAGGTGGCAATGACTTGAGAGAGGTTTCTCTAGTATACACAGTTCTGCCCAGGCCTCCATCTCTAGTGTGGGACCTTGGACTTGGTCCTTTTTCTTTTCTATTTTTTGAATAGAGACGGGGGTCTCACCATGTTGCCCAGGCTGCTCTCAAGCTCCTGGCCCCAAGGGATCCTCCTGCCTTGACCTGCCAAAGTATTGGGATTACAGGCATGAGCCACCACACCCAGCCAGTCCTTTGTCTTGAGTGGACTCTTTAGCTGTTAGAGGAACAGCTCTTGGGTTCATTTCTTGCTGCTTCTTCCTCTTTCAAGGTTCCACCTTAGGTATGGTCTCTGGAATGGAGTGGCAGTCATTTATGTGCTCTCTGGCCTTCTCTTGACAACCAATCTTGTGTGGTTTATTATGCTTCAAGAGGTCTCCATCTCCTACCAGCCAGGAAAGGGTGGTAGAAGAAAGGGGAAGAAAATTTACCTTACCTCATCACACGTATTTTATCTCATTTACCCTTCAGGACAATCCTATAGGGTGAGTATTCTTTTGTAACATGAGGAAACTGAGGCTCAAAGAGATTAACAAAGCTACCAAATGGCAGAGTCATGAATTGAACAAAACAGTCTGGCTCTGTTTGATGCCCTATACTCCAATCTCTCCCAGGTAGCTGAGAAACTGGAGATGCTGAAGAAACAGTATGACGAGAAGCTGGCACAGAAGGAGGAGCTTCGCAAGAAGTCTGAAGAGATGGAGCTGAAGCTGGAGCGAGCTGGGATGCTGGTGTCAGGGTTGGCTGGCGAGAAGGCCAGATGGGAGGAGACAGTCCAGGTGAGATCAAGACAAGTCCCCGAGACTAGCCAAGTGGGATGCTAGGGAGGGAAAGGCTGGCTCTCTGACTGTGTCCTCTACTTACCTGTCCTTCCATTCACCTGTATCACCTGGTGTTCTTTCACTCTGCCCATCACTTCCAAGAGACCCATCCCCATTAGCTTGAGGGATAGTCAGGGAAAATAGGGACACCTGGATATAGGGAACTCTAAGAACTGACTATTAGCTTGAGGGACAGTCAGGGAAAATAGGGACACCTGGGTATATGGAACTCTAAGAACTGAGGCGTGGGAGCCCTTTCCCTCCCCCTGCACACCTTTGGTGACAACAATGGAAGAAAGGCCTTTTGCACCATTTGGGATCTGCTTCAGTGTTTGGGTAGGGCTGGGAAGTGCACACAAGGACTCTTGACATAGCCCACTGACCGGAGAGAAAACAGACATGGCACATCTTTCTGCCCTCAGTGAGCTCCTGAAAAGGGTTAGGCCTTATCACCAGAATGTAAACACTGCCATTAGAGATAGGAAGCTCAAAAGTAATTAGAACCAGGCTAGAATTGTCAGGATGCAAATGTTGAGGAGATGGAAAAGAACCTCTTTGAATTAGATAATGTCCAGAGGAGGGTGCCTTCAAAAGCATTCCAAGTGTCTCCCAGAGTGCTGGGGCCCAGGCAGGCTTACCCTCCCTCCTGTCTGCCAGGGCCTGGATGAGGACCTGGGCTACCTGGTGGGGGACTGTCTCCTGGCAGCTGCCTTCCTCTCCTACATGGGACCCTTCCTGACCAACTACCGGGATGAGATTGTCAACCTGATCTGGATCAGGAAGGTGAGATGGGGCTCAGGTATAAGGGGGCTCTGAGACCAGGGCTAGGGCAGGACCTTTGGGACTATTAAGAGATATCCTGCAGGGGCAGGGGCTGCTGGGCTCAGCTCTTCAAGTTAAAGCTTGGGGCTTTTCTCTCCCCAGATCTGGGAGCTTCAGGTTCCTTGCTCCCCTTCCTTCGCCATTGAGAACTTCCTGTCCAATCCTACCAAAGTCCGGGACTGGAACATCCAGGGGTTGCCCTCTGACGCCTTCTCCACTGAGAATGGCATCATTGTCACCCGAGGCAATAGGTAAGGGTAATTCTGGGATGGGGGCGGCACAGGGACGGGGCTGTCCTCTGACCTGCCCTCCCCCTCCAGGTGGGCACTGATGATCGACCCTCAGGCCCAGGCCCTGAAATGGATTAAGAACATGGAAGGAAGCCAGGTGTGAGGCTGGGGGGCCGCATTTGTCCCCCGGTAGAATTTCTGCCCAAGCCCCACCTCTTCCTGAGGCCCTGCCCTTGGGCTGTCAGCTCCCTTGTCTCCCCCAGTGTTCCCCCACCTTTCCCCCTCACTCTCTAGGGCCTGAAGATCATCGACCTGCAGATGAGCGATTATCTTCGAATTCTAGAAAATGCCATTCAGTTTGGATACCCGGTGCTTCTTCAGAACGTGCCGGAATATCTGGACCCCACACTCAATCCCGTGCTCAACAAATCTGTAGCCCGAATTGGTCAGGACAAGTCCCCGAGACCAGCAGAGTGGGATGCTAGGGAGGGAAGGGCTGGCTCTCTGACTATGTCCTCTACTTACCTGTCCCTCCGTTCAGACAGCCCTGGGCTGGGGCCTTAGGGCAGGCCAAATCACTGTCCCTGGGTGCTGGTGGGGGACGGGTTGGTGGTACCCTTCACATGGGGTCCTTCCGTGGATGCAGCTGGTGAGGGATGGGTTAGCCAGTACCTGTCACAGGGGGTCCTTCCATGGATGCAGGCGGTCGGCTGCTGATGCGTCTTGGCGATAAGGAGGTGGAATATAATACCAATTTCCGTTTCTACATCACCACCAAGCTCTCCAACCCCCACTACAGCCCAGAGACCTCAGCCAAGACCACCATCGTCAACTTTGCTGTTAAAGAACAGGTGGGTGCAGGCTGAGGTCCAGACTGAGCTGGGATGAAGCAGGAAGAGTTTGGAAGGATTGAGAAAAGGGATAAGCTTGTGCTGGGCAGCTGAGGATGAGGGGTCTTTCGAGGTGTAAAGGGATGAGGAAGGTGAAGGCTGAAGGAGTGAGAGCCCCTCACGGTGAGTCTGGATGCTCCCAGGGCCTGGAGGCCCAGCTGCTGGGCATTGTGGTGCGGAAGGAGCGGCCTGAGCTAGAGGAGCAGAAGGACTCACTGGTCATCAACATTGCGGCTGGCAAGAGGAAGCTCAAGGAGCTGGAGGATGAGATCCTGCGGTGAGGCCCTGCCTCCCCCTCCCACCACCCCACAGGCCTCCTCCCAGCCAGCCTCCACCCAGCCCACCCCAGGCACAGCAGCATCCCAGGAAGCCTGGTCCCCCGAACCCCGGCTCCATGTGTCTCTGGGCCTCCCCATAGGCTGCTGAATGAGGCCACCGGCTCCCTGCTAGATGATGTGCAGCTGGTAAACACGCTGCAGACCTCCAAGATAACGGCCAAAGAGGTGACTGAGCAGCTGGAGACCAGTGAGACCACAGAGATCAACATCGACCTGGCTCGGGAGGTGAGCTCCGTGCCCTCCCGCCCTGCCTTTCACCAGCCATCCAAGATGAAACTGTCATGATGGCTCAAGACGACCTCTTTCCCCAAGCCCCTGCTCCCTGCCATGTCCCTTGGTGGCCTTGACTCCCTGGCCCCTGCAGGCTTATCGCCCATGTGCCCAGCGGGCATCAGTCCTGTTCTTCGTGCTCAATGACATGGGCTGCATCGACCCCATGTACCAGTTCTCACTGGATGCCTACATCAGCCTCTTCATCCTCAGCATTGACAAAAGCCACCGCAGCACTAAGCTGGAGGACCGCATTGACTACCTGAACGACTACCATACCTACGCTGTCTACAGGTCTGAGGGTTCCCCCACATGCCCCAGCCAGGAGGCCGAGTGGCCGAGGCTCTTCTGGCCACCATGCCTTAGTGCTTTCCTATGCCGCAGCCCTCAGCCTGCCACCGTCCCCTGCCTGTGTCCTCCTGGTAGCCCCTCACTCTCATGGCTTAACCATCACCTGTGGGCCAGTGATTCCCAGTTTTGTGGCTATAGCCCTCTCTTGAGCATTGGACTTATCTACTCAACTGTTGGTGATACCAGCACTGCCCAAATGGTAACGGGCGGGTAGAGCACCCGAACTCTGTTAAAATACTAGTTGGGATTCGGCAGATCTGAGTGGGGCAAGTCAAACAAGCTCCCAGCGGGCGCCACTGCTCTTGGTCTGTGGATCACATTTGAGCAGCAAGGAACTGGACTTCTCTATGCTGACATCCCACAGACCCTTCAAGCTCAACTAGTTTCAGCTCAAACTCACTCTCTTCCCTCTTCCTTCAGAGTCCTCATCCCTGGATGACACCAACACCCACTACCCAGTCACCCAAGCCAGAAATTGGGAGTTATCCTTTATTTTGTATAATTTTTAGTTGTAGAGACAGGGTCTCCCTACGTTGCCCTGGTTGGTCTCAAACTCCTGAGCTCAAGGGATCCTCCTGCCGTGGTCTCCCAAAATGTTGGGGTTACAGGCATGAATCACCATGCCTGGCCAAAATTGGCAGTTATCCTTGACTCTTCCCCTTCAAAGCAGTCACCAGGTTTTGTTCATGAATATTTCTGCAAACTGTTCGCTCTCCATCTTCCCATTCCTTGGCTGTACTTTAGGCCCTGGGGATCCTTTTTTCTGAATTGTACAATGGCCTCCTAGAGGTCTTCCTGCCTCCACCCTCTCAACCCACCCTCCTGTAGCTGCCTGCCTGAGCAAACCTGGACATGCTGCTCCCCGGGTCTGACTGCCAGTGGTTGCTTGCTAGGTCCCCAGTGGCCCACGAAGCCCTCGTGACCTGGCCTTCTCCTGCCTCAGCCTCACCTTTCCTGCCTTGCACCAGGGGCCTCAGCAGCCCTGACTGCCCTGTGTACTGTGCCCTTCTCATGCTTTCGCTCATGCTGTGACCTCTCTGCCTTTCCTATGTCACCTGAAAACTCTGCTGCACCCTGAGGCACCTCCTCTAGAAAACTCCCCAAGTCCAGCAAGCAGGGATGACGTAACTGATGGCCTCTCTGTCCTCTCTGAGAGTGTGGCTTATTCATCTTTCTGTCTTCAGGACCCAGCAGAGTGCCTGGCAAGACATTAGGGGAATAATGAAGGCTTTGGTTTTTTAATGGAACTGAATGACTAATTATGAGTGAAAGGTTGGGTGCGGTGGCTCACGCCTGTAATCCCAGCACTTTGGGAGGCTGAGGTGGGTGGATCACCTGAGGTCAGGAGTTTGAGACCAGCCTGGCCAACATGGTAAAACCCTGTCTCTACTAAAAATACAAAAATTAGCCAAGTGTGGTGGCAGGTGTCTGTAACCCCAGCTAATCAGGAGGCTGAAGCAGGAGAATCGCTTGAACCTGGGAAGCAGATGTTGCAGTGAGCTGAGACTGTTGAAGCCTGGGCAACAAGAGTGAAACTCAGTCTCAAAAACTAATACAGTAATAATAATAATTGCTATTATTATAGTTATGAGTGAACTCTGGGAAATTCTTGTCTCTAGCCCCTGAGTCCTTGGCTGTTTCCAGGAGGTTAGGATTAGAGACTGGTGAGGTCCTCTGTGTGAGGCTGTGTGACGGTAGGATTGTAGAGTTGGTGTGGCAGCCCCCATTCCATTCTGCCTCCTCCCTCCTCCCTGTCCCTTTCTCCCAGGTACACCTGCCGTACCCTTTTTGAACGCCACAAACTACTATTCAGTTTTCATATGTGTGCCAAAATCTTGGAGACTTCTGGCAAGCTCAACATGGATGAATACAACTTCTTTCTACGTGGGGGTGTGGTGAGTTGGGCAGAGAGCACATCCCAGTATGGGATGGTCAAGGATGGGGATGAGGGCAAGTGTGATAAGGACTCCAGACCCACAGCGGCCATGAATGAGCTGAGAAAAATCAGGCCAGCATCAGGTACACGGTGAGCTCCCTGGTGCTGCGGGGATGACTTGCCATGCACCCCCTGGCCCTCAGCACAGGCTGGGCTTTGCGGCTTGTCTCACTTGTGACCCACCGATTGGTGTGATCTTGCCACTTTTTTACTGCCTTTCAAGGCACTCCTTCCCCAGCCTGAGTCCTATGGTCCCCTCACAATCTTTGCCTGGCAGGCTCCTCAAGCCCTGTTTTCCTCCTCTCTGTGTTGCATCTACCACTCTGGCTAGATCCTGCTTCTCTTCCCCTGGCTCCCTGCATGGCCCATGCAGCTAAGCATGGCCGGAGAAGAACACATCCACACCGAATGGACTTGCTTTAAGTCCGTGATTGTGAACCTCAAGGAGGCCCTTAAGGCTGGACAGCCATGCTGCACTCTCCTGCCCTCCTAAACAACGTTTTCTTGACTTTTGCCACCTTCACTTCGTGCCTCCCACCCCAGACTCTCAACACAGCAATCAGAGGTCTGACTGCCTCACTCAGGCTGGACTGCGGTGGCAGTGATCTTGGCTCACTGCAGCCTCCAACTCCGGGGCTCAAGCCATCCTCCCATCTTAGCCTCTGGAATAGCTGGGACTACAGGCCTGCGCCACCATGCCTGGCTAATTTTTGTATTTTTTGTAGAGGCAAGGTCTCACCATGTTGCCCAGGCTGGTCTTGAACTCCTGGGCTCAAGCAATCCTCCTACCTCAGCCTCCCAAAGTGCTGGGATTATAGGCATGAGCCACAGTGCCTGGCCTGAGAGGCCCTTTTAAAGTAGATGTCATTGTGACAGGCTCCCCATGGCTGGTGCTGCCTCCTACCACACAGCGCCCACTCAGGCCTCACTGCCCTCCCCACATAGGCCTGACTGCCCTCCCCAATCCCCATGGCATGTCTTACCTCAGGGCCTTTGCAGGGCCGTGCCTTCTGCCGGAAAGCCACTCCCCGGCATATGTACTTGGCCATCTCTCACCTCTTTCAAACCTCACCTCAGTGAGACCTTGATCATCTTATTTCACACTTCAAACTACCCCTCAACATTCCCAGTCTTCCCTACCCTCCTCGGAGTATCCTATTTTCCCATGGCACTGCCGTCTTTGCTATACTATTTACTTATTTGTTATGTTTTTGGTTCATAATCTGCCCATGACTTCACAATCCCATGTTGGAAAATAAAATCTCCAAGGACAAAGATATTTGTCCATTTTTCTCAGTAATGCATCCCAATGATTAAAATCCATAGTTGGTGAACAATAAATATTTGTTAAGAAAAATGAATAAGCAAGTGAGCAAATGAATGAGTAAATAGTTTGTGTTTCTCTGAAGGGTGAGGCTACCAACCAGCCATTAGGTTGCAGACATTATTACTAGGCAACCAGCAGAGGGTGCCAGATTCCTAAATTTGAACTGTGAAGGCTAAGGGCAGGGTCTGGTTCCCAGACCCCCCCGTTTATTCTCTAGGATCGCTATATTCATCTCTTCACTCTCATACAAAACCCATTTTGGGCTTGGCATGGTGGCTCATGCCTGTAATCCCAGCACTTTGGGAGGCAGAGGAGGGTGGATCACCTGAGGTCTGGAGTTCAAGACCAGCCTGGCCAACATGGTGAAACCCTGTCTCTACTAAAAATACAGTAATTAGCCAGGTATAGTAGCGGGAACCTGTAATCCCAGCTACTCAGGAGGCTGAGGCAGGAGAATCGTCTGAACCTGGGAGGCAGAGGTTGCAGTGAGCCAAGGCTGCGCCACTGCACTCCAGCCTGGACGACAAGGGCAAGACTCTGTCTTTAAAAAAAAAAAAAAAAAAAAGGCTTAGTGTAGAAGCTCATTCCTGTAATCCCAGCACTTTGGGAGGACAAGGCAGGTGGATCACAAGGTCAAGAGATCGAGACCATCCTGGCCAACATGGTGAAACGCCGTCTCTACTAAAAATACAAAAAAAATTAGCTGGGTGTGGTGGCAGCCTCCTGTACTCTCAGCTACTTGGGAGGCTGAGGCAGGAGAACCACTTGACCCCAGGAGGCAGAGGTTGCAGTGAGCCGAAATCACGCCACTGCACTCCAGTTTGGTGACAGAGTGAGACTCCGTCTCAACAAAAAATAAAAACATAACAAACAAACAATTTTGGCTTTTGGCTTTCCCACAGAAAGAGAGAGAGAGAGAGAGGAAAGATCATTCTTCTTTTGAGGTATTCCCAAGTCAATCCCTTTCTTCCTCCACCAGGTCCTGGATCGGGAGGGCCAAATGGACAACCCGTGTACTAGCTGGCTTGCAGATGCCTACTGGGATAACATCACAGAGCTGGACAAACTGACCAATTTCCATGGACTCATGAACTCCTTTGAGCAGTACCCTCGCGACTGGCACCTGTGGTATACCAATGCTGCCCCGGAGAAGGCAATGCTGCCAGGTACCAAGTGTCTGTGCCCGGCTCTCACCTTTCTGCTTCCCTCCATTCAGCTAGGTGCCTGCCCTTCCCATTGTCCTCCATCCCCTCTCCCAGCTGGCGCCAGAGCACATTCTCAGCAGGTGCCCCTTTGTCTGGATTCCCTGCTCTTCCAGACTCACTCCCTTTCCCTGCAATTACTCACCTCGTCCCTAGGTGAGTGGGAAAATGCCTGCAATGAAATGCAACGGATGCTGATCGTCCGCTCTCTGCGCCAGGACCGCGTGGCCTTCTGCGTGACCTCCTTCATTGTCACCAACCTTGGCTCCCGCTTCATCGAGCCGCCTGTGCTGAATATGAAGCTGGTCAGTGGCTCAGCTTCCTTGAGCCCACAACCCCGGGGTCCTTCCTGCCTTCCTTGCTCTGTTTCAGTGTCCTCCATCTCTCTCCCCAACTTTGCTTATGTGGGCTTCTGCCTGATGCCATACCTGTGCTTCTGGCAGGTGATGGAGGATTCAACCCCACGATCCCCACTTGTGTTCATCCTGTCCCCGGGTGTGGACCCCACCAGCGCCCTGCTCCAGCTGGCAGAGCACACAGGCATGGCCCAACGCTTCCACGCCCTGTCCCTGGGCCAGGGCCAGGCCCCCATCGCTGCTCGACTTCTCCGAGAGGGTGTGACTCAGGGTTGGTGTCCATCCTTTCTTTCACCCCCAGCTTCAGCCCAGTCCTTGTCCCTAGAACCTCCAACCTCAATTACACTACTGTACCTGCATCTCCCACTTCTATAGAGAGCCCCAGAAGTGGCAGACCTGAGTGCTAGACCCTCCCCAGCCACCCCCCAACCTACGCCAGGTGGAAAGCATGAGGACAGGCAGGGCTTAGGAAATGATTCCCACTGACCCTGGCATCTCCTTGCAGGACACTGGGTGTTCCTGGCAAACTGCCATCTGTCACTGTCTTGGATGCCTAACCTGGACAAGCTGGTGGAGCAGCTGCAGGTGGAGGATCCTCATCCATCCTTCCGTCTCTGGCTCAGCTCCAGCCCCCACCCAGACTTCCCTATCTCAATCTTGCAGGCCAGCATCAAGATGACCACAGAGCCACCAAAGGTATGTGGCCATAGAGAGCCAGCATCAGCAGGGCCATCTGGTCCACCTTACCTCCTGCTAGCATCAGAGAGAAGGCTTAACCCAACAACAACATGGCTTTGATTTGATTGTCCTCTAAAAAATTCTGCCTCAGCCAAACGTGGTGGCTCATGCCTGTAATCCCAGCACTTTGGGAGGCTGGAGAGGGGGTGGATCACAAGGTCAGGAGTTTGAGACCAGCCTAGCTAACATAGTGAAACCCTGTCTCTACTAAAAATACAAAAATTAGCCAGGCATGGTGGTGCGTGCCTGTAGTCCCAGTTACTTGGGAGGCTGAGGGAGGAGAACCGCTTGAACCCGAGGGGCAAAGGTTGTGGCAAACTGAGATCACCCCACTGCACTCCAGCCTGGGCAACAGAGCAAGACTCCATCTCAAAA